ATTAGCAGCTGGGAGCCATCTCAGACACGCTAGAACTCTGCCAGTTCCCAACTAGAAAAAAAAACCGAGCAGAACTGGAGTGGAACGAAGGGTAACCCTGGTTCCTCAGTGAGGGCCCTTTTCCAAAACTTTCTCAGCATTCCCAGGTCCCCCCAACCCCAGCATCTACACTCTACTTTCTCAACCTACCCATGCACAACTCACTAGGTCCAACAACTCTTTCATCTCTGTTACTCAGAATCCCTGTTCCAAGGAAGTCCCCCAGCCCCTCCCAACTGCTTCAAACCCTCCGCCCCAAAGTCTTCCTCCCAACTCCTCCACCATCACCTATCCGAGCCCGAGGGTCCCTGGCCTTGCCCTTCAGCCTGTCCCGTGCACTCTGCAAGCAGGACCCCTGTGCCCGCAGTCCAGGCCCTCACTCGCGGCCTCCTCGGCCCCCTGCCCCAGGCCTGCTCGCGAGGCCGCCCGCCTGTCCGTCCTCCTCACCTGGTACTGCGCCGCAGGGCCCGCAGGGCCCATGGGGCGGAAGGCGGTGGCTCCGGGGCCCCCCACGCCTCCAGCCGGCCCCGGCCCCCTGAGCGCTGGTCCGGGCAACATGCCGGGTCCCGCTGGCGGAGGCGGCGCTCCCAGGGCCGCGGCAACTGCGCCGCTGCCAGGGCTCAGAGGGGGTAGCGGGAACCCGCCCGCGCCACGGCCCGACATCGTTCCGTCCCGTCCGGCGGTGTCGCGATCCGGCTCCGGGCTCCGGACTCCGTGCCGAGTCCGCTCCGCGTTCCGCGCTCCGGGACTTCCCGATCTAAATTCCGGGTTCTGGGATTTGTTGATCCGGGTTCCGGGATTTCCTAATCTAAATTCGCGAGTTCCTCACAGACCCGGTTTGGGGCAGGGCCGATCCTGATTCCGGTCCTGCCCGGAAAATTCCAGATCCGGGATCTGCTTCGGGCCCGCTGCCGCCCCCGTCCTCCGGAGCTTTGGCCACCCGAGTCCACTTACCCAGAGGTAGCAACTAACTCCGAACCCCCACCAACCAGCCCAGCACAAGGCCCTGCCTATATCCGGCAGCCCAATGCCAGGATGCCTCCTCAAATCCCGCCCCTCGCGAGACCCGCCCTCCGCAGGCACCGCCCCTAACTGCCAGCCGCAGAGGCCCGCCCACACCCCTTGGGCCAGCCCTTCGCCGAAGAGGCGGGGGCGGAAGCGGCTCACGGAAACGCCGAGCAAGGCGCGCGGTCAGAGGTCGAAGGTCACTTAGGGATTCTACCGCGAACTGGCAGTTGCTACTCTCGCTCTGGTGCAGCCGGATAGCTATTGTGCCCGCTTACGCCCCTGAAAATAGTTTTGTCACTCCTTTCTGTATTTTCAGCATTAAACACTCAACCGAGAGCTGTTTTCTGGGGCAGAACAGCCACCAACTTGACTTTCTTTAAAAGCCCATCCTGGTGCCTCAGAGTTGCCAAGGGACATCTGTTGCCCCAGATCCAGTCCAGCTGTGTAAAGGGTTGCCTTAGACAAGCTCCGAGTTCTTATCGCATATTTTTAACGTGGCTCTGTTTCACTTTAAGGAAGCCTAATATTTTACTCCACAGGAAATGTGTCTAGGCACAGGAATTTTTCATTACGAGAAACCTCCCTACAGTTAAGGTCTTTCTCCAGGATTTATAGCACTTGATTTTCAAATTTTCAGTACCTTTTCCAAAACAACTGTCCTGTAAATCAGAAAGTGTTCAAAATAAGGTGCTTCAGCTGTGCAAAGAAGCCTACCTTCTGATGGTCTGAGGTTTCCTCCTTTGTGATACAGACCAGTGATTCTTTAATGAGCCCTAGAAACATCCTGGCTCTTGTTAAAAATGCAGATTATGCTTCAGTAGGCCTGGGGCCAGGGAAGGGCTCAAGGTTCCAAATTAATAACAAGCTCCCAAGCCATGCTGTTGCTACTCAGTCATTTTTAAGTAACCAATATAGACTTTTTCACTCTATAAATCCTCTGCTTTGTTTTCATCCCCAACCAAATTTTGCCCCATAGCATCCCAGACCCTGTTGACAGAACAGGCTTCCAACCCTTTTTAGTTTTGCTCTTCTATACTTCTTGGTACCTTTCCTGCAGTGATAAACCCTACTGCCTCTGCTTTTCTGCCACTTAATTCTTCTCAGAGATCCTTTTCTTCTGTATCCCTAAAAGTGGGTTACCTGCCAGTGTGAGAACAGGCCCCTAGAATTGCTAGAGCTGTTGAACCAGGGCCCCTCCCTACCCCTGTAGGGTGGATAAAGAAATCATGATAGCACAGTTAAGGTCCATTTCAACCCTCTGAAACTCCTAGAACAACAGTAGTTCTAGAGGAATTAGTAGCGGCAAATGCTCTGGGAGCTATTCCAAAATATTCCTGTCAGCCACCCCACTATATACACATACACACACACATGTAACCAGTGTTGTATTTTAAAAATAAGCCTCCAGGTAATTCTAATACACTCCTTACTGCAAAACACAGATAAGTTAGTGCATTTAAAAACAAAACTGTTAAATGTAGTTCAGGTCCTGTTAATCCCTTGCTTAAAACCCTCCCCAGCTCCCCAAATCGCTTGCTTTGGCTAAGGGTCAGTACAGAGGTTCTTCTGGCAATTCTAACGGCAGAGTCCCTTCCCATGTCAGAGCCTCTCTGCCTCCAGCTCTTCCCTAACTTTTCCACTCACTTTCCTTACTTCCCACCAAGTGATCATTACACTATGTAATTGTTTGTGTGTACTGGTTTACTGCCTGATCTGGCTTCCTCACTAAAATTTATAAGCACTGTGAACAGAGACACTCTCTCTTTCTCGTCTCATTTTTCATTTTTTTTTATTGAGGTGAGATTCACATAATAACCACTATAGAGTGACCAATTCAGTGGCATTTAGTACATCCAGTGTTGTATGATCACCATCTCTATCTAGTTCCAAAACATTTTCATTAATCCAAAAGAAAATCCATACCCATGAAGTAGTTGCTTCCCATTCCTCCTTCTTCCTACCCCCTGATACCCACCAACCTGCAGTCTGTCTCTTTGAATTTACCTATTCTATTATTTCATATAAATGAAGTCATATAACATGTGGCTTTTGTGTCTGGCTTTTTTCACTTAGCATAATGATTTCAAGGTTCATCGATATTGTAGCATGTATCAGAACTTCATTTCTTGTTCTGGCTGGATAATATTCCATTGTATGTATACACCACAATTTGCTTATCCATTTATCTGTTGATGGACATTGGGCTTTTGGTTACTGTGAGCAGTGGCGCTATGAACAAGCACATATATGTATTTGTTTGAGTACCTGTTTCCATTCTTTGGGGTATATATTGTGTCTCTTAATCATTGTTATAAACTACTCAACAAATGTGTGTAAACAAGTGAATGATCCTTGAGTGTAGTAGGAGTGAATGATAAACAATGTAAACAATGCTATGATGCAAAGTCCTCAAGGTGTTAAGGGGAAAATAGAGATGTCTAAGGCATGGTAACAATTAAAGGAAGATCTCCTAGACGGTAAGAATTTATTATGTAGTTAACATTTATTATGCATTTAGTACACTATGACCTATTTAAATCCTCACAATGCATTATGAGGTAAATACTATTTTTACCTCTATTTTATAAACAAGGCAGAGATATCAGTTACTTGTCCACTCTCACTGTGATGGTGCTGGGATTCAAGTCTAGTTCTGATCTGGCTCTAGAATCCACAATCCAGGCATTTAACCACTACATATGACTTCTTCTTGGTAGCTGTTGTATCTCCATTACTTCTGGTCTGTTATTACTTGCAAAGAAACAGTGTTCAAACTGAAAGGCAAATACCCTGGGGACTTAGAGAAAAGGAGTTTGATTGGTAAAACTTCCCAGAGCACTTGGGTTGAAGAAGGAGATAAAACTGGTAGTCACCCAATATGCAAATGGATCTGATATCTCACTTTGGGACAATTCTTGTGAAGAGAACATTGAGTTAACACTGAAGACTTGGTAGAGATGGGGGAGAGAGGCATTGCCACTGCCACCCTCACGGGACCTAATGGTGCAGCCAATTACAGGACTTGCAGTCATGGAAGCAGCATTCCCATGCCTTTATTCCCTCAACTCGACAGGCCTTTTTCTCTTCCTCCCTTCTTCCCTTGATACTTATTCTGCTCAGTGACCACTTTCCAGAAATTCATCCTATGACCTTCTGTGGTTGCAGAAGAGGGACTTTCCTATAACCTTTGAACCCTACTGCATCTACAGACACTCAAAGAGACTAGAAAGAACTAAAATATATAATTTAAAATGTATTTAATAACAAAGTATTTAATACAAACAGAGCCAAAGCGATAATTCTTAGCTTGGGCTCTGTGGTCCCTCACCCAGCAGTTTGGTGGGTAAAACAGCCCTCAAGGAATTCATAAGAGAAAGGCCCTTGGAGCCAGATGGCCCAGTGTCTCCACTAGAGCAGGCCAGCAAAGGATCACTCCTCAGTGTAGATGGCCCTCAGGAGCTTGGAATTTCAGGAGAGGCAATGTGAATAGTCAAGTCATTGTGGGAAACTTTTACCAGGATGATAGCACTGCTGCAGCCATACCAGGAGCCCATCCCAGGTGGGGCATCCAGGCAGCTGATGCATCTGTCTCCCACATGGATGCAGTGGTAGGGCACTGCCCAGTGGGAGCAGCAGAAGGGCTGGATGGTAAAACACCAGATCCTGTATTCACCATTTGAGAAGCATTTTTTGAGCATCTTCTATGTGCTAGTCCCTGACATATTCTGGTAAAGAAAAGAAATGCATAAATAGTAGATCGTTCCTCCATGTGACAACTGTTAAGATATTCACAAGGTACTGAGGGGAAACAGAGTTGGCCTTTAATGGAGGAAAGGGATTAGTGAAGATTTCTTGGAGATCATACAAAAGAGGTTATGAATGAGTTAGGCAAAGAAAACAGAACAACGCTTTAAGGCACAAAGCAGTACAGGGTGAGGAGGACCAGAGTCAGTTTTGCTGGATCATGAAGCATAAGGCAAAAGGCTCCTCCTTTGTGTGTACATTGAGGTCACAGTTCTTAATACATATATTTTCATAGTCAACAAAGTCTAGCAGGGAAAACTGGAGAGGAGAGACTTGTAATAGCAGCAGTAGATACCAGGATTCAGAAGTGGGCTTCATGTCTATAGTCCAGGTGACACTCTTGGAATTTCTGGAGCCTAGGGCTGGGACATGATTCCACCATTCGTTCTCTCCCCATGCAAGGTAGACAGGTAGGGGGTTATAGCAAATTTGGATACCTAGCTGGCACTGTGGTCTCAGGGTCCTCTTCCGGGTCACTTCTCAAACCCTCCCAGAGGTAACCTCCTGGCTCTTGAATTTGGACCCAGAGCATCTGGTAGAACTAAAAAACAGACCAGTAAGACAGAGGAAAGATAAGCAGGGGTTTCCAAAGGGGGTCTCTGATTTATCCTTACTCCCCTTCTGGTCCCTTCATGTGCTTGTTCTCTCAGGTTCTATCTTTAGACCTATACATGACCTACCCAGACATACTCATCTACTCCCATTCCTTCAAGAACTATTTTCTGATAACCCTAAATATCTAATTCTAATCCCCACCTCTCTCCTGAGCTTCAGATCCACATTTCCAACTCCCTGCTAGATGCTCCACAGGTCATTTAAACCCGTATATCCAAAGTCAATGTCTCACTGTTCTCCTTCCCAGTCTCCTCGTGTTTTCTATCTGATTAAGGGCATGAGGACATGGCAAAAGGCCAGACTTCTTGCTGAGACATTCAAGTTAGTCTTTAGGCAATTGAAAGCCAAAGACGGAGTGACCCAACTAGATGCCCAGGGTTCCTACAACCAAAAGCAGAGAAGAGAGGAAGCCATCAGGACCTCCATCCTGCTCTTACTTGAAATCATCTTCCATTCTTTCCTCTCTTGCTCCCCTTCAGTCTTAGTCACCAAGTTATGTTGGTTTTTCTGCCTAAGTATTTCTTGGATCCATCCTACCCACACCTTAGGTGAGGTCCTCAGCATCTCTTCCATAACCCACCCAAATGGTTTCTCTGCTAATAGGCCATCCTGCCCCATCCCCTCTGCCAGTGTTAGCCCAAGACAACACATATGATCACATCTTTCCATTTTCCCATGTTTGTATGCCCTCTCTAACCTTCTGCCCACTGTGGTCCCCACTGCAGGTTCCCCAGAGCTGGTATGAAGACCTGAGAGTGAGGAGAGACGGCAGAGCTCAGAGGGGGGTGTGTCTCTGAAGTTGACTCTTCCTTCTCTGTCCTCTCACCTCTCTAGCTTTATTTTCCACCAGCTTCCCATATATTCCACCATCAGGCCACACTGAACTTGCCCTTCCTTGAATATGTCATGCCCTTTCGTGCTGTGGTTCTTCTACTTCTGATGTCACTAGAATATAAGCTCCTCCAAGGCTGGGGCTTTGTCTTATTTGAAGCTGTGTCCCCACTACCTAGAACTGTACCCGGCACAAAGTTAAGTACTCAATTCATGTTTATTAAATGAGTAAGTGTTCTTCCCCAGTTCTCTGCTATGCAAGTATCTGTTTATTCTATTCTTCAAGGCCAACTCAAATGTCACTGCATCTGGAATTTTCTGTGACTTCCTATCCCCATCCTCCAACTGCCATCATCAATTTGTTGTTCTCTTTTCTATTTTCCAGGGTTCTTGGTCTAAATTTCTGTAACAGTACCCCTCACACTGTGCCTTGGCTTTTATTTGGGGCTCTGTCTCCAGTGTGAACTCTCAGGAAGACAAGGACAGTACAGAAACAATGCCTCCTCAGGAAGTAACACTGATAAAAATTACCTCCGCTTCCCCACCCAAGAACTCTGTTCCAAGTCAGTCCTGATCAGGAGTTAACCCATCAGGGCAGAAGGTTAACCCTAATAGTTAGCTTTGGCTCCCAAATCCTTCTTGAGCTTTATGCTCCTGCTCTTAGGACAAGATTTGTGACCTTCTGTCTGGATTCCTGGATTTTATGTTGTTTCCTTCTTAGCCCACATCTTATCCTCACCTTGACTACGATGGGCAGGCCAAGGCTAATTCACTAAGTACGGACTCCGGATTTTAATCCTTAACTATCAGCTCTTCTAATTCTGACTGAGACTCTGTCAATCCTGATTTAACATTTAGGTTCTATCAACAATGAGTTGCCTTTGAGTCGGGCACTGACAGACCCAGGAATAAGAAGTAGGTAAGGAAGAGAGTCTTGAGGGATTAGGGAAGCAACAGATTTGAGGAGCCCAGAAAACAGATAGAGCAGCCCAAAGAGAGAGGCAGCTTTGCAAGGGAACAGCCCTCTAGCTGGGGTCCCTCCTGCTTTTGTCAGGTCCAAACCTGCTACTTCTGTAACCCAGACCTACAGGATGACTGCCTGGACCAAAGCAATTGTCCATTCGAAGGAACAACTCCAGTTCCTTAGGAGCACGATTTGCATAAAGAAATGGATCAGTTGGAGCAAGACCATTTGCCAAATTCATTCACTTCTGATCAATTTATAAAATTACCAGAACTTTTAAAGGACTATTTTATATGATACAGCTATTTTTATTTTAGATGAGGTTATACTGACAGCCTTAAAGATGTTGAAATTTAAGATTCTGATTGAAGAAAGTTAAGGCTGATAAGGCGTTGAGGAATTGGACAAAGGATAATAAAAATGTAAGCATATGACAAAATAGGAAATGACATTCAAAAGTACCTGAAAAAAATAAGCAGGTGAAGAAATCCTGGCAAACACAAGTGCAAAAAGGTTAGTTTCTGGCAAAGAGTGAATAGGATGCTGATTTGGTAGTATTTTGCATAAATATGCAACATAAACAATCAACACCATTCGAAGCCACAAAAGAGAAATGAGGGTAGCTTAAAGGGGTTACTATGGTAGGTCTTAGGAACTAGTCTTAGATTTGATATGCATTAACCATGAAAAAGAATTTGTAAAGAACCAGAAAAGAGAAAGTGGACATGTTCAAAATCAGATAAAGTACAAGTTTGCTAGAAAGCAACAAGAGAAACCATATCACAAATACATTTTGCTAGGGACAACTTATTAAACTGATATGCAAATTGAAAAATTGGCAAAACAATCCTAAAAAAAATTCTCACATGAAACTTAAATTTTGGCTTCTAACACTGAAAATTACATTTATGAATATTAAATGTTCCCATAAAGACTTTTCAAAAATAGCTTCATTGAAATATGATTGACACAGTCAAATACACATATTTAAACCTCACAATTTGATAAATGTTGACATACTCTATTATCATAAAGACATTAAATTACTCTATGACTTCAGACAAATTAAATCCAGGCATACCTTGTTTTACTGTGGCTTGTTTTTGTGCCTCGCTTTATTGCACCGCAGATATTGCATTTTTTACAAGGTTTGTGGCGACGCTGCATTAGGCAAGTCTATTGGTGCCATTTTTCCATCATTTGCTCACTTTGTGTTTCTGTCACAATTTGGTAATTTTCATTTTCAGAATACTTCAAACTTTTTCATTATTTTATTTGCTAAGCATTGTTCCTCCATTCTCTTGTACTGACATAGGATGCCAGGGGTGGGGATGATGAACCACGCTTGTTTGTGGTGATGGATAAATCCAAATTCTATTGTCGCCACCACCTTTGGGGACAAAGGGTGAAGAAGCAGAATGAACATGGAAAGCAGTCTGAGACTAGTATCACACAGCTAAGAGTCCTCTGAAGGAGCTACCTGATGTCTCCCCACAAAGAAAATGGAGGTGTGAAATCATCACTCTTCACAGACTCTCACTCACTCAGTTACTGAATATTTATTGAGTGCATACTAAGTGCAGGCATTGTTCTAGGTACTAAGGATACATCAATAAACAATACGGATAAAATTATTGTGCCCACATGACACTGGAGAGGAAACAATGAACGGATTAACAGGTATATACAGAACAATGTTTAACAACCAGTTCTCAAAAAACAAAACCCTAATTTGTAACCTTTGGCAATTTCTGTGATGTAAATACTTCCACCATGGTGGTTTTCAAGCTACCTGACATCCCTAAATACAGATCTGGGAAGAGATGAGCCAGCCCATCTCTTGCAGCCGGTCTAGGACACCACTGGATACTTAACTTAATGTCAGGTACTAATGAGTGCTATAAAGAAAAAGAAAGCCTGGCAATTTTAGGGGGAATAGTCAGGAAAGGCCTATCTGAGAATGTAGAAGGAATACAAAGACTACCATTTACTGAACAGCTATGTTAAAAACAATAGTAGGCACTTTCATATACATAAACTAAATGTCATTCCTTTTGACAGACGAGGAGAGTAGAAGTTACATACTTTTCCCATGGTACCAAAGCTGTTAAGACATTGAGAGATTCATAGACAGACTTGTTTGGCCCCAAAGCTTCTGACGACCCATTGGTTATTCTCCCTCAGACTGTTAGTATGGGGAAGGAGACAAGGCATCGGTACACTAGGGTTCAAGAAGAGCAACTTCCCTGGGTGGCCCAAAGGAGTTAGCCCGAGGGCAAGAAGCCACTCATTCATAGTCTAAAAAGAAAGAAATACAGTTCTTAAGACTTACACTGGACACCAAAACTGCCAACCACATTAATAATTTCCTTGCTTGCCACTTCCATATAGAGAAATGGGGTTAATTGTAATGCCTCCCTCTTAGGTAGTTACATTAAATGAGATAGTGGATGCACATAAAAACCGTCCTCTTTAGAACAAGCTCCCCAATCCTCAACTGCATCCCTTCACTGCACCAAGGAACCCAGACCATAGCTCAGGGGCAGACCAAAGATTGAGGGAGAACCAAGGATGCAGCAGGATGCCCGGAAGACTGGCCCAATTTGGGCTCTGGGGAAATGTCTAGAAACAACCTTCGGAAGGTATTTGACATGGAAGCTGAGAAAAGGGGTCCCGGGGTGCAGAGGCAACGGAAGAGGATTTTCTCGCTCACTGCCCTTTTTACGGCGTACTGACGGCTCCTAGGCGGGGGAGCAGGGGCCGCCAAGTTCGGTAGGAGGTGTGGAAGGGAATGCTAGGCGGGTGCGGCACAGAAACGGGGGAACGGGCACAAAAAGGGCTTTCGGATATTGGCAAGGCGTCCATTTCCCGCCTCACCCAGGAAGAGCACAGAAGAGCCCCGGGCAAACTTGGCGAGTGGGGCACCGCGGTCCAACGCCGGGAAAGCGTACGCAGCCCGGCCCGACACGGACGGGCCGGGTGAGGGGCCGACAAACCCTTGTCCTTAGCCATTATTTGCTTACAACAATCTTTTCCCTTTTGTTCTCACTTTGCTTTATTCAGAAGCCATTATCTTGACGCAGACATGCGCTCTCCGCCAAACAGGACACACGCTTCCCTGCCTATCTTCATCCTCCCAGCGCACCCCTCCAGTCGTTTTAGTTTCCCGCCCGCCTCGCTGTCTCAGCCAACCCTTGTTAAACATCTGCATAGACGTCATGAGTTTCTAGGCAGATCAGAAAAATCCTCCAACCAGGGGCGTCCTCGCGCGCCCCCTCCCGGTGGTGCCCACCAAATGGTCTGAGCGCGCGCCCAGCGGCGCGGCGGCCTGGCTGCCGGAGGAGCGGCGGGAGCGGCGAGGAGTGGCTCTCAGTGAGGATTTAGGTTTGGTTTGGTTTATTCAGGTTCTTTCTGGCAGCTCCTCCCTGCTTTCCCGTCCAAGTTTGTGGAGATCAGGCCTCATGGCGGGCCTCACCTCCCCATACTTTAGTGAGCTGGAAACCCTGAGGAGCGCTCACTGAAGTATTTTTTTCCCACTTATTTTTTAGTATTTTAAATATCGTCCGCCTTTAAAAGCTTACCTGGCCTGTTGGACTGAGAGCGTGAGAGCCACCTTGTGTACTCGCTGGGCAAGAAACCCCTTCCCAGCAAGAACTGGCCTTACGCTCCGTAGACGAGTGGGTGGGCACAGGGCCCCCACTCAAATATTTGTAAATATTTTATCTAGTTCATTCATTCATTCATACTTGTTGAATGCCTGCAACAGTTCTGTGTGCTTAGATCCATCACTGTAAAAAAAACAAAGCGCGTCATTAGCAGCAGGACCGCCGCATCGTCACATTTATTGAAGGCTTATGTGCCAGGGGTTGAGGTCAACTTAGCTTGAAGTAACTCATTTATTCTCACTTTAGTCCCCCACTCCAGTGTTTATAATAACACTTGGCACAGTGTATTGACGTTTTTTATTTACATGTAGGATAAGTGGTGATACCTTCAACACCTTACTAGGAGCCTGGCATGTCCTAGGCTCTTGACAATTGTTCACTGAAAGAATGTATAAATAAGAATAGTCCTGCTTGGGGCTTTGGTATTTTTTCCAAGTGAGCTGTTACGCCTCAAAACTTCTGTTTTGAAATTTCTTTCAGACTCCAGGGTACATTAGAATATCTTCAATGATAGGAGAACTTCCTTGAAAATAGACATTAAGTCACCCAGCACTAGGTTTGGCAAATAACACGACTGAGTGATAACGTTTTTGCTCAAAGGATAACAGAATAGTAAAAAGACTGGTTTTTCTTGTGTAGCTTAAAGGCCAGATCTAAATAAATCACTTCCCCAAAGAAGTTTTGAATAATGGTGTCATCACTGCAATAAGTTTATAGCCTCCCAAAGTGATTGTTTTGAAGGGTAACGTTCACCTCGGAGTATAAATTTTGACATGCCTATTACCTTATGCATGTATAAAAAAAACTAATCCTTTCAGACCAGCATACAAGTAAAGGTACACTGTACAAAGCCCAGCAGATGAAAATTCAAATACAGTGTTACAAGGTAGAGAATTAGAAGGTAGAGAGGCAGGTCCAAGATGGTAGCCTAGAAAGAGCCTGAACCCACCTCCTCTCACAGACACACCAGTCTGTACCTACATAGCAAGTAATTTGTCCTGAGGAAGAACTGAGGCCTGAATGAACACCTTCTGCATAAGAAGGGATAAAAGGACCACATAAAAAAGGTCAGGAAACATGGAGACATGGCAATGGAGAGATGCCCCACCCTGAATGTGCCCTGCAGTAGGTAGGTTCACTGAGTTACCAGAACATTGATTTGCCTGCTCTGGGGCACAGAAAAAAAACTGGTTTAAAAGGCAAACCAACTTTCAGAACTAAAGCACTTGCCAAATGGTAAGGAAACTGCCAGAACTGTAGGATTGGAGGTGCTGGTAAGCACCATTGTTTACAACCCCTCCTCCCACCCACCACCCACACACACCCACACTCACCCACCCACCCACACGCGCGCGCGCGTGCGCGCACACACACACACACACATTGCTAGTGTGGAGGAGAGCAGGGTGAGCGCCATTGTTTATGTTCTTGCCCTCATACTGATAGTGCAGATGGGAGCAGGGTCAGGGGCGATACCTGCTCCCGACTTAATCAGGGTAGTCTCCGGGACCCTGCCTATGCTCAAACACACCTGCTGGAGATCCTGTAGTCCCACCAAAGTGGCACTAGTCTAGCACCACACTCTTTTGGATTAAAAACTCTTTTTGGGATTGANCCAGTAAGACAGAGGAAAGATAAGCAGGGGTTTCCAAAGGGGGTCTCTGATTTATCCTTACTCCCCTTCTGGTCCCTTCATGTGCTTGTTCTCTCAGGTTCTATCTTTAGACCTATACATGACCTACCCAGACATACTCATCTACTCCCATTCCTTCAAGAACTATTTTCTGATAACCCTAAATATCTAATTCCAATCCCCACCTCTCTCCTGAGCTTCAGATCCACATTTCCAACTCCCTGCTAGATGCTCCACAGGTCATTTAAACCCGTATATCCAAAGTCAATGTCTCACTGTTCTCCTTCCCAGTCTCCTCGTGTTTTCTATCTGATTAAGGGCATGAGGACATGGCAAAAGGCCAGACTTCTTGCTGAGACATTCAAGTTAGTCTTTAGGCAATTGAAAGCCAAAGACGGAGTGACCCAACTAGATGCCCAGGGTTCCTACAACCAAAAGCAGAGAAGAGAGGAAGCCATCAGGACCTCCATCCTGCTCTTACTTGAAATCATCTTCCATTCTTTCCTCTCTTGCTCCCCTTCAGTCTTAGTCACCAAGTTATGTTGGTTTTTCTGCCTAAGTATTTCTTGGATCCATCCTACCCACACCTTAGGTGAGGTCCTCAGCATCTCTTCCATAACCCACCCAAATGGTTTCTCTGCTAATAGGCCATCCTGCCCCATCCCCTCTGCCAGTGTTAGCCCAAGACAACACATATGATCACATCTTTCCATTTTCCCATGTTTGTATGCCCTCTCTAACCTTCTGCCCACTGTGGTCCCCACTGCAGGTTCCCCAGAGCTGGTATGAAGACCTGAGAGTGAGGAGAGACGGCAGAGCTCAGAGGGGGGTGTGTCTCTGAAGTTGACTCTTCCTTCTCTGTCCTCTCACCTCTCTAGCTTTATTTTCCACCAGCTTCCCATATATTCCACCATCAGGCCACACTGAACTTGCCCTTCCTTGAATATGTCATGCCCTTTCGTGCTGTGGTTCTTCTACTTCTGATGTCACTAGAATATAAGCTCCTCCAAGGCTGGGGCTTTGTCTTATTTGAAGCTGTGTCCCCACTACCTAGAACTGTACCCGGCACAAAGTTAAGTACTCAATTCATGTTTATTAAATGAGTAAGTGTTCTTCCCCAGTTCTCTGCTATGCAAGTATCTGTTTATTCTATTCTTCAAGGCCAACTCAAATGTCACTGCATCTGGAATTTTCTGTGACTTCCTATCCCCATCCTCCAACTGCCATCATCAATTTGTTGTTCTCTTTTCTATTTTCCAGGGTTCTTGGTCTAAATTTCTGTAACAGTACCCCTCACACTGTGCCTTGGCTTTTATTTGGGGCTCTGTCTCCAGTGTGAACTCTCAGGAAGACAAGGACAGTACAGAAACAATGCCTCCTCAGGAAGTAACACTGATAAAAATTACCTCCGCTTCCCCACCCAAGAACTCTGTTCCAAGTCAGTCCTGATCAGGAGTTAACCCATCAGGGCAGAAGGTTAACCCTAATAGTTAGCTTTGGCTCCCAAATCCTTCTTGAGCTTTATGCTCCTGCTCTTAGGACAAGATTTGTGACCTTCTGTCTGGATTCCTGGATTTTATGTTGTTTCCTTCTTAGCCCACATCTTATCCTCACCTTGACTACGATGGGCAGGCCAAGGCTAATTCACTAAGTACGGACTCCGGATTTTAATCCTTAACTATCAGCTCTTCTAATTCTGACTGAGACTCTGTCAATCCTGATTTAACATTTAGGTTCTATCAACAATGAGTTGCCTTTGAGTCGGGCACTGACAGACCCAGGAATAAGAAGTAGGTAAGGAAGAGAGTCTTGAGGGATTAGGGAAGCAACAGATTTGAGGAGCCCAGAAAACAGATAGAGCAGCCCAAAGAGAGAGGCAGCTTTGCAAGGGAACAGCCCTCTAGCTGGGGTCCCTCCTGCTTTTGTCAGGTCCAAACCTGCTACTTCTGTAACCCAGACCTACAGGATGACTGCCTGGACCAAAGCAATTGTCCATTCGAAGGAACAACTCCAGTTCCTTAGGAGCACGATTTGCATAAAGAAATGGATCAGTTGGAGCAAGACCATTTGCCAAATTCATTCACTTCTGATCAATTTATAAAATTACCAGAACTTTTAAAGGACTATTTTATATGATACAGCTATTTTTATTTTAGATGAGGTTATACTGACAGCCTTAAAGATGTTGAAATTTAAGATTCTGATTGAAGAAAGTTAAGGCTGATAAGGCGTTGAGGAATTGGACAAAGGATAATAAAAATGTAAGCATATGACAAAATAGGAAATGACATTCAAAAGTACCTGAAAAAAATAAGCAGGTGAAGAAATCCTGGCAAACACAAGTGCAAAAAGGTTAGTTTCTGGCAAAGAGTGAATAGGATGCTGATTTGGTAGTATTTTGCATAAATATGCAACATAAACAATCAACACCATTCGAAGCCACAAAAGAGAAATGAGGGTAGCTTAAAGGGGTTACTATGGTAGGTCTTAGGAACTAGTCTTAGATTTGATATGCATTAACCATGAAAAAGAATTTGTAAAGAACCAGAAAAGAGAAAGTGGACATGTTCAAAATCAGATAAAGTACAAGTTTGCTAGAAAGCAACAAGAGAAACCATATCACAAATACATTTTGCTAGGGACAACTTATTAAACTGATATGCAAATTGAAAAATTGGCAAAACAATCCTAAAAAAAATTCTCACATGAAACTTAAATTTTGGCTTCTAACACTGAAAATTACATTTATGAATATTAAATGTTCCCATAAAGACTTTTCAAAAATAGCTTCATTGAAATATGATTGACACAGTCAAATACACATATTTAAACCTCACAATTTGATAAATGTT